CAAAGAAAGCATATGCATCTTCCAAACAGAAGGAAGACAATAAATCTTTAAAAAAAATTTTTCAAATGTGTGACAAATTTTTAAACGAATCCCTAGCACAAATAGTGAAAACTCAAGCAATTTTAAAAACTAAATGTCCAAAAAGTAGAAGGTATTCTGATGAATATAAACAATTTGCATTAACACTATATTTTTTGGGCCCAAGAGCGTATGCTTTTATGGGAAGAATATTGTATTTGCCCTCAAAACGAAGTCTTCAAAAAATTACTGAAAATTTGGTCTGTAAACCTGGTTTGAATAATGACCAAATATTTGATGCCCTAAAATTAAAAGTGAACACAATGTTAGATCAGGACAAGCACTGTAGTATTTGTATTGATGAAATGTCTATTAAAAGTAATTTATTTTTTGATACAGGTCGTGATGAGATTGTTGGTCTATATGATATAGGAAGTGGGAAAAAGGAATCAATAATTGCACAAAATGTACTTGTGATAATGGTTCGAGGCTTATATTCAAATTGGAAACAACAACTAGCATATTTCTTTGCAAACACTACCTTTGAAGCAAATCATCTTCTTCCTATTATAAAAGAATGTATTTCTAAACTATTTCAATCAGGTTTGTATGTGAATTGTCTTGTTACTGATATGGGATCGAATTTTCTAAAATTGAGTAAATTACTGGGGATTTCTCCAACTAACTCAGAATTTGATGTCAATGGACAAAAAATTATTTATATATTTGATCCATGTCATTTAATTAAAGCCACTAGAAATAACTTAATTAATAATGTTTTTTATTTTGATGATAAAACAACATATTGGTCATTTATAGAAACTTTTTATCATGAAGATAAAAAGCAGTTCTATAAATGTGCACCAAAACTAACACACTCCCATATATATCCTACATCTTTTGAAAAAATGCGAGTAAAACTAGCATCTCAAATTTTAAGTAACACTGTTGCAAGTTCTATGTATACATATATTTCTCTTAGTATTCTTCCATCAGATGCATTGGGAACAATAGAAATTATTGAATATTGAAATTTAATAATTTGTTTGATATTTTAAATTCTACTGATTACAATAATCCTAACAAATTTAAAAATGTATTTGAGGGAACTGATTTTCAGATCAATTACCTAGATTCTATGATAGATTTGGTACATAAACTGAAAATATTAGATAAAACAGGAAAAAATGTAACATGTCGTTCGCAATCAAAAAAGTGTTGGATTGTAACAATGAATGGTGTTAAAAAGCTTTGGGATAACTTAAAGTCTCATGATTTTAAATACTTAAAAACAAGAAGACTTAACCAAGACTGCGTGGAAAATTATTTTGGTAGTATAAGACAACAAGGTGGAAATTCCATCAATCCAACTCCCATACAATTTCAGAGGGCATTTAAAAAACTATTTTGTCAAAACTTTATGCATTCTAACAAAATGAATTGCAAAGATGATTTAGATAAGCGTTTAATGGATTTAAATGTAAAAAAAACTTGTAGTGAACAATACTCTCCAGTGAAGGCTATTTCGCTTCCAGATTGTGACTACAGAACAGAAAAACTAACAACCCAAAATGCCTTTCAATATGTATGTGGTTATTTAATTAAAAAGGCTCTCAATATTCATGTTTGTCATATATGTATTAAATATTCAAAAGAAATAGAAGAACTAGATAGTAGTTTATATATTCTGGCCTTTTGTACTTTTTTCTGCAACAGTGCTTGAGATTTCACAATTTATTAGGAAATTTGTCACATAATTTTTTAAACTGTTCTAATTCTTGTTTTGGGCCTTTTTGTTTTTTATATGTGTTTGTATTTAAAAGTTTCCATTTTAAAAACCTTATTTAACATTTCAGCTTAAACCTGGTCCGACTCTAATTTACTTTCTTTTAACCTGGATAAAACAGTAGCATTATCCTATCAAGGAGCTCTTCAACTCGTAACAGCCAGATCAGTACCGCTGATTCTGTAAAATTTCTTGGTATTTTTTGAGACAGCAACGGTAAATGGTCCCTTCATATCGATTTGTTAAGTAACAAACTAGCCTCAGCCTGCTATGCAATAAGATCTGTTTCGAAGGCGATCAATTTAGAATCTTCCAAAATTGCATATTTTTCTTTCTTCGAGTCTCATCTTCGATGTGGTCTTCCTTTTGGGGGTTCTGGTACAGCTGCCCAATCCGTTGATATTATTAAATAAAAAAAAGTAATAAAGTATCTGTTTGGCCTCAGAAGAACAACACATTGCATAGTCTACTTCAAAGATCACGGGATTTTACTTCCTTCTTTATATATTTTAGAAACTGTTTGCTTAGTTCGTAAATACCTACATGTCTTTCCAGTAAGACCTTATCATGACTACTAAACGAAAATTCAACCTTTGATGTTTATTTACTGATGCCGTTCACAGTTAGTAAACAAATCTATATTATATTCTGCAAAAAAACCCTTTTACGACATAAATCTGCAACATCGTTCCCGAAGTTTCATAAAATGATAAAAGCCTATCTATTTGCAAGACCATTTTATTCAGTAGAAGAGTTTCTTAATTAATAACTAAGAAATTACAATATCTTAATGTACAGTTCCATGGTTCTTTACCCGTGGGTCATTATTGCCCAAAGTAGCTTAAACTTATTAGTTCCTACGGTTGATTATGCAATTTGTTATTGTCTTTTTCCTCTGAGTCTTTGTAAGCTTCGTCCATAAAATTGTAAAATTTTCAATGACAATAAAGCATATATTTCTATTCTATTCCCATCCGGGTTATGTTTATCCATGCTTATAATGGTCTTTTAGAATGGGGCGGAATAAGGAATATTTACTTGCATTCTATAAACATTCAGAAGTGCTTAATTAGATTTTTATGAAAAAGATTAAGATATTACAGCAAACTGTTATACAACGAGAATAAATTTTTAACTGTACGTAAATTGGTCTCTTACAAAGCCTTTATACACATACATGAAATAAAAAAGGATACTATTATACATTAGCAATCATGCGCATCCAACTAGATATATAAGGAATAATGCAATTTTATCCAAATGTAATAAATCCATACTCCAGAAATGTGTTGGCTACATAGGGCCCAAATGATACAATTGTCTACCGGAGAATTTAAAACAAATTAAGAGTTATAAAAAACATAGATATCAGTATAAAACTAAACAATGGATTGGAAACAAAATAACACAATTCTGCGAAGAGCAGATTAATTGATCATAGTAATAAATAAAAATATCGAAATATACCTTGTTTACCAACTACAATATTTCTTGAATTTATTGACATATTTATGTCACATGCTATATTAAAATGAATGTATTTTTGTAAGTGCGCATATGTAACTGTTTATATTAATACATTTGTTAAATATTTGCTTTTTTGCACATACATTTTTTAAGTATCACACACAAGGGGTGCTACTTTTATGGTAGCTCTATTTCAGTGATTTTTTATATTTATTTAGTGTTAAGTATGCTTATTTTTTGTAAATCTATATTATAATCTAAGCTTCCTAAATAAACATTATTATTAGTATTAATTACAATAAATTTCTATTATTATTATTGTGTTTTATTACAATTTTTTACCCCTCCCTACTACAAATGTGATATATCCAGGCGAATTGAATGTAATACTGTACAACCAGAAGTTTCAGAGACCTCAGATGCACAGAAAGAGAAATCGAAGAGGTATATGTGTATATTAATTACAATAAATTTTTATTATTCTGTTTTATTACAACTTTTTACCCTTTCCTACCATAAATTTGATATGTCCTGGCGAGTTGAATTTACTACAATACAACCAGAAGTTTCAGAGACCTCAGATGCATAGAAAGAAATCTAAGGTCATTTTGTATACAGTCATTCTAGCCGCAGCTGCAGAGTTTTTACGCGCAGCGAAAATATCGTGGTGTTGGAGGTTAATAGATATTCACATTCAAAGAAATTCCTCAACAGGAAACAAAAAAGTCAGCAACTTAAGACAAAGTAATAGAAATTTCAAGAGTATAATTCTGTATTGATAAGTAACAAAATATAGATTTTGAGTGATGAAGTGTTTTATTAACCTTAAAAAAACGATAAAAAGTAATAGAAATCAAGCTTTTCATCTCTATTTTAAAATTAACTCTCAAATTCAATCGGTTTTTTAACATACTAAAATACTTTTAGTACGTTAATTTGTTTGTTAAAAAAAAAACAAATCGATATTTTTGACTTAACAACTTTTTAATTATCAGTTCAGAATTGATATATAAGTTATAATAAATTTTACAGAAAAAATAAAATTCATACAAAACAGATTACTTAAAAATGATTACATTCATTTCTCAGTGTAACTATCATTTACTACAGTTTTGAACGACTTCCTCACTACTTTTCTTCGTGTAATCAAATGTAGGTTCATTGCTACTGTCACTCTGAATTTCTGTCCTCCCAACATCAAAGGTTCCGACAAAGCTTTCGCTTCTGGTTGTGATTAGTGTTCTGTGTTTTGAATTTTTAAAGTGAATACCTCTTGTTGTATATTTTTACCTATTTAATAAAATCTGTGCTTTTTAGAACAAAATTAGTGTGTTTTATTTCAAAAATGTCACGTAAAAATTTAAATAGTTATTATAAAGAGATGGTAATATTTTGCAATAATTATGTGACCTATTTGATTTAAAATGGAGTCAGGATTTTTTTATACTTTGGCAACTATGTCAACTTCGATCTCTGTCAATGATAATGACGTGCATCGGTAAGTAAATTAGATGAAGTATACTGTTCATTTGAATATGGAAGAAATAGTAACTGGTATTTAAAAGTCGTCAGAATTTTGTCAATAATTACTTTAGAGTCAATATTGCCTTGCATTTACTTCACTAATGGAATTAGATGTATTAGATCATTTAGAATTCCTGAGTGGCTGAATAATCAAAAGTATTCTACTATTCAAAAAGTTGAAGATTATGTTGTGACTGTGACAGTGACTTGACATTATTTTAATGTACCTAACCTAACTTAAAATTTACTTTTATTATTATTTTTTGAGAAAAATAAAGTTTTTACTTTGTATTGTAACACAAAATGCCTGACAAAGATAGTTTATTGGATGTGAATAATTTAGTTAGTGATATAAAGCACAAGTAAGTACTTATGGTATCGTAGCACAAACCATATGATGCAATTTGGGTAGTTCTGATTTTTAATGCTTATTTTGAGTAAACAGTTTATGAGTTCTACTCAACATGCCCTTAGCTTTATAAACACAGAAGTGCAATAGAAAAGTAAATAGAGTCTCAAAGGCTTCCAAAATTACAGTGTAGGAGTCATCAAGACTTTAGCATTGAAGTTTTTGAATTAATCCAGTCACACACACACACACACACTATATATAGTTCATTGATTAGGATGGAAACTTGTGTTATTTCATTAGTATCAAAAGTAAATGACTGTACAGTTATATTCTAATTACATATTGGAACTCATTCTCTGTACAATAGTATTTTCTATACTAGTGTAGTAAGACGAAACAATGTCTACAGAGATGAAATGTATATCAATGAATTCTGCTTCACTTACTGATGATTGTGTAATGATTTTTTTATAGAATTATGGTATACGCATATCACATATTAAGGTGTATAGGCTCTTATTTTGTGTGTTTGTGACAAATTGGTTTTTAGGCTATATTATAGTGTGGGATTATATCTTATTATTAATATCATTCTCAGTGTATTATAGATCAAGTATTTGTTAGATGACATTTTAAATACAAGAAAAATGGAGATTTTATTTAAAGTTTTAGTGATTTGTCAAGAATTTGACCTTATAATCAGGAAAAAAATGTATGTTTTTCATGGAGGCAGTATCTTATCTCAGATTTGTTTACCTACTGCGTCTTTTGCTACAAGATGTCATTCCAATAGAAGAGTATATTCAATGTTTGTTATCTTCATAGATTTAATTTAAGTGAAACAGAACCCTGTGATTGTAATGGTAACACTGACGATATCAATCATTGGATGTCTGAGTGCATATATAATGATGCTGCTATTAAGTATCTATTAGAAAATCTGATAAAAGAACAAATACCTCTTCCTCAGAGTCAATCTTTTATTTGATATATCTCCCGTCGTAATATTATGCTCAATCAAATTTTTTGAGGGTATTTATAAAGGTCTAAAAGAAAATAAATAAAACATATCCTTATGTTATATATTTACCTCCTTGCCATTGCCTGTCTTGTGTTATAATAAAGTCGCTATGAAAGGCACTTTAGCATGAAAAGTATCCCTATATTATGTAATCCCTTGTTGGTACTAAATATTCACTTTAAGTTAGTTAGGGCCCTGAATGTAATGAATGAAGTATGGTTTCTCGTCAATCTACTGATTCTTGTGATACTGATGGTTATAGTATATTTTTAATTTACATTTAGGCAAAGTACTATTTTGTTAATAATTGCAATAGGTCAATATATCATTAACAAATTCAAGTAGTCAAATACATTATCATGGCTGAATAGATCAAGTTACCCAAAGCCATTAATTAAATAAAAAAATCATAAGCTGATACTCTTATGTAATATAATATTTTCTTTTTTATATGTATAATTTAGAAAGCTCGACAATTCACTGGATATAGCTTTGAAAACAGAAGAGTTACTAGAAAAGCTTATTTCACAGCAACAGTGGAAAAGTGCAAGGGAGTTAATGAATTTAATTAAATTAAGAATTAAATTTATTAGAGAAAATGTACCTACTGAAGCTACAGCAACCAATATCATGCGACATATATTAAAAATCATTAGAGAAGAATATGAATCAGCATTAAAGGTAGGTAAATCTATTTTTCTTGATTTTATACAAACCATATTGTTAAAAAGAAGCTAAACTCGGTTTCATCGTTCTTGGCGTGTGCCTGAAATAAGCTACTACGGAATGTTTAATATTCGTCTCTCTCTATCTCTGATACACAAATGCATAATTCAATTGTGCGAGTCACGTTCGTCATGGTAAAGTGCGATGAGAAGGGAATGAAGAGACCACTCACGTCTCCCAGTATTGTAGCAATAACACTGGTGCGTTTGGCCGATACTGTGTCAGTGATAAGTTTGGCCTCTTTATAAATACAGATCGCTGCCACTGGAGGAGGTAAACGAATCGAGCTTAGACAAGGAAAGACAGATGAAATAACTTATTTCAAGTGTTTTTACACGTACATGCCAAGAAAGATGAAAACGTCTATATACAATAATAATATAATAAAGTACATATTTCATTTACATATTTATATTCTAGAATACTTTAATCTCTATACAAATTGGAATTTATTGTTATCAAATAAATAAACAAAAATATTTATATTGCTATAATTGAATGTTCTGATTTATCCATAAACAACTAGTTGGTCCTGTGTTACAGTTTTCCAATTCAAGATGGCTGTGACAATGTACAAATAACTTTTACATTCACTACAAGTTGTTATCTGACAGTCACTCCTAAGAAATGGTAAATTGGTTAATACTATGACTGAATGTCTTGAAAAAACTACTTTTTTAATTATGTGTCATACTTAGTACATTTAGTATTTAAATTGCATTGTATTCGTGATAGTTAAAGTGTGACAGTTAGGATATGATAAAAAATAGGTCTCTCATATAATAAAAATCGATATATTTTTCATTTTTTTTTGTCTTAAGGATATTTAATATCTTTGATGTTCAATGACACACCATTCAGACTGTTAATACAATTAATTACTGTTTTGTTTTAGAAAAAAGGAGAAGGACAGTCCCCTGCATCAGCTTGTGACATCTCATCCTAGTGATATATTGGACTATTCTGAAGCTCACAGTAGTTTGAGATCAAATTTATTGGATCATTTAGGAGAGTATAAAGTTGAAATAGATTCAAGGTAAAATAAGATAGCTGTTCATTGTTTGTGTTTGTTATATATCACAAACTGTAATTTTTTCGGGATGGGAATCTTCTAAAGATATCTGGGAAGGACACCCAGATACATTTGGATTTAACAGGACTAGATGTGTTTGATATTGAAAAGGTTATCCCAGCTGCCTACCAACTAATCTTACTCTGAACAGCACACCCTAAACATATTATTGGCGAATGTAACTTCGGGTATGCTGCTGCAGTCTCTAAAATTATAATAACGGATATTGTATAACAGAACAGTGTAGTAAATAGCAAAAAGTGTAAAGACTCGTTTGTGTAGAAATCAAGGTTGTAATGAGATGGTACTTCTCTGTAGCTTTATATGTAATACTAGACCTTCCATCTCTACATGTATGTGTATGAAGGATCGCTCTAGAAAGGCAAACATGGGTTTAGTCTCTAAAACCTTACTACCTTATCTGGTAACTTTAATGGTTGGCACAAGACATCGTACACAGTCATCGTTTTCAAACGAAGATTTCGAATTCACACTAAATATCAATATAACACTTATATTACATGAAATACCCTCACATATTATAGTGACTGGTCAACAACATAGAGAGGAGTTTTTGGCAAAAATATTTATTGACATATATGCCAAGCTTTACTAGACTCCAAAGTTTAAACTTAGGAGACCATATCAGCTTGGAACTGCAAACAACCTCTTAAGTATTAGGCAAAGTTCAACAAAGTATTTTTGTTATGGGTGCCAGGTCATAATAGAATTGCTGGTGAGGAGTCTTTGATTGAAGAATGCCATAAATACCTGGGATAGTTCTTTTTACACCTGACCAAATATTAAATGTATTTCCGAAATGGATAAGAGACTTTAGATCTGTTGGATATTACGACCAAACGACACTCTATTACTAAAATATAGTCTTAATTATTTTTTTATTATTTATTTTTTTTAGTTCTGAAAATATAGCAGCACAAGCATCAGAGCATATTCACATGGATGAGATGATTATGACAGTGGGAAAGTCTAATACAGTAGAAAAGTTTTTAAAATCTGCCGCAAAAGAACGACATTTCAAAGTGGTAGTTGTTGAAGCAGCGCCATTTTATGACGTAAGTACTGTATATTTTTTCTTCCAAAGTAAAGATTAGTGAATATCCTTTTTCTTGTATTTTGTCTTATATAATTAGTTTTGATAGCTCATATTCTTTTCTCAATATATCGCTGAAGTTATGTGAAACTTAAATGCACTCTCACCCATAGTGATAACTTAGATTTAGTAAACCAAGACATAATTCAGCATGAATTGCCTTCTTACTTCACTAATAGGCTTGCATCTGTTCCATTTTCGGATGTCTTCTTATTGGATGTCCAGATTATCCAGATATAGTTAGAATCTTTCCAATTTTTGCTGAAATATTTTGCCATCCACTTTTATGTGGCACCTTACTGAATTTTTGTAACTTAATATTAATAAACACTATTGACAATGATCTTATTATGTAGTAGGATTTTGGACTACTAGTGACAACCTTTATAGACTAATATAATATATTTTTAGGGCCATATAATGGCAACTAGGTTGGCAAAAAGCAATATCCAAACAACTGTCATACCAGATTCTGCAGTTTTTGCCATGATGTCCAGAGTTAACAAAGTAATTATAGGAACGCACACAGTCTTAGCAAACGGAGGACTACGGGCAGCTAGTGGAATACATGCAGTAGCCTTGGCAGCCAAACAATTTTCTGTGCCTGTGAGTAATTAAACTTTGTCCTTTTTTCCCTCAAGATTCGCCAATATATGAGGAAAGCAGTTGACATACAAGTTCATACACTCGGTACCCCGGTATTTGTTTAAAAAACAATTTCGCACGAATGATCAGAAAACACTGAATTGGTGCCATTTAACACTCGTAAATACGGTATTTTTGATGACCTGGATCAACGAATCTGGATCACTGAGACTCAGTAATCCAGGCCTCAATTCAGTTAAATGTTTACTGATAAAACTACCATTTTTTAAAGATGCAGACTTAATTTTCAACTAACGTATAGATTCTGGTAGGTTACCAACCGCCCTACTCTTGTCTGTAACGGATATTTAGTTTTAAAAGTTATAAAATTATTATTTAAAATTATTTGAATAAAAAATTATTATCCTTCTAAGAAAAGTGACAGACGCAGTTATCGCTTTGCATGTGATCATTGTTTATTTATTTATTTAATTAACGGATATACCATCTTTACATAAATATAACGTCAACTTTTTACAAAGCTTATACATAGGTTGCGTTAATAAAAAACAAACCAAAATTAAAATCAAACAAAATTCAGTTAAAATGGTAGCTTAAGGTATTAAATAATGCTCAAAATCGCTCAAATGATTTCTCAAATGCTGCTGTAGATATTCCAAATAACTCTAAATTATTGCTGTGTTCATTAGCAGTTCGTAAAAGTCTTGTAATGGGTTCATTGTGGCCATAATTCGTACTGTGGAATGCAATGTTGAAAATCTCAGTGTTACGAGTTCTGCTAGTATTAACATTAAAACTTATTAAACTTAGTAACTCTGGATCTTGAACATATCCATTTATAATTTTAAAAAGGAAACATAAATCCGCTTGACATCGTATATCATCATATGTGTATTGCTGTCTAAGAAAACCAATTTTGTAAGCACATACCCTCAAGAATTTATTTTGAACTCTCTCGATACTGTAGATGTCACTGTTATATGAAGGAGACCAAATGAGAGAACCATACTCCAAAACTGATCGAACTAAACGAAAGTATAACATTTTTAAAGTTTGTACTGAAAACTGATTACAGTTTCTAAGAATAAATCCCAACATTATTAAAGCTTTAGCTGAAGTTTCGTTAATGTGATTTTTAAAAGTTAATTTAGAATCAAAATTTATACCTAAATCTTTAATATTATGACGTGCCTCTAAAGGTACATTATTTATATAATAATCATAATTTACAAACTCCCTTGATCTTCCAAAAGTAATTTTAAAACATTTTTGTATATTTAAGTATAGCATGTTTACCTCACACCAACTAGCTAAGCTTTTAATGTCATTCTGTAATAAAGAGGCATCAACTAGGTCATTAACTATTCGAAATATTTTAAGGTCATCAGCAAACATTAGAAATTTACTATTTTTAATCACTGAGGATATATCATTAACAAATATATTAAATAAGAGAGGCCCAATATGCGACCCCTGAGGAACTCCTGAGGTACAGATACTCGTTGAGATAAACAATTTCCATATTTAACATACTGACATCTACCAGATATATAACTACCTATCCACTTAATTATTTTACCTCCAAATCCATAGCCATTTAATTTAGCAATAAGCAGATCATGGTTAACTCTATCGAAGGCTTTTGAGAAGTCTGTGTAGATAGCCTCAACCTGACCCTTCTGTTCCACTGAATTAGCTATAAAATTCGTATACAATATTAAGTTCGTGCATGTAGACTTACCCTTAGAAAAGCCATGTTGTCTAACATCAATTAAATTTTTACAATTCCATGTCAAAAAGTTACTTACAAGACACTCAAAAAGTTTGGGTAATACAGATTGGCTACAAACCGCTCGATAATTCTCAACATCAGTTTTATTACCAGACTTGAAAATTGGTGTTAAATAACTAGTCTTCCAAAGGTCAGGAAAGATGCCGGTATTCAATGAGGAATTAAATAAGTAGCAGATAGGTTTTACAAGAGTGAAAATGCAATGCTTGAGAACATAAGCTGGCAAACAATCTGGTCCAAGCGATAATTTCCAAGGCATCTTTAACACACTATCAATTATGTCAGAGACCTCAATACTATAATTATTCACATTTACACTCTGCTGATAGTTAAAAATTGGGATCTGATTAATTTTAGAATTAGAATATGTAATTGAGAAAAACTTACCAAATAGATTTACTATGTCTTGAGCATTATCACTTGTACTATCACCGTAGAACATATTAGATGGCAGATTATAACTTTTACGTTTATTATTGATATATTTCCAAAAATGTCGAGGATTAGATAGAATCCCATTCTCAATATTATTCAAATAGTTACTATAACATTGAGAAGAGACTTGTTTAATTTCATTTCTTAACTGAGAAAATCTTAAATTATCATCCCTTCTACCAAACAATTTATACTGCTTATGTAATTTCTTTTTTAAATATATCAACTTCCTTAATTTACCATTGAACCAAATTGGAAACGAACTTGTTTTAAATTTTTTGATCGGAACAAAGAAGTCAAAACCTGTAAACATAAAATCATAAAATACTGCTAAGCTATAATTCACATCATCTGATAAAAGTAAGTCCCAATTTAAACTTGCAAAGTAATCATTTAGTCCGATGTAATTTGCATTTTTAAAATCATAATAAAATTCCTCGTAGTTCAGTTGATTATGCTTTTCAAAACCAGTTAATTCTACAATTATAGGTGAATGGTGGATACTATTACCAAATAGTGAATCAAGTGGAATAACTACATCAACATTATTTAAATTAGTAAATACTAAATCTGTAATACCGAAAACCTGTTCTTACGGTTCAGGGTAACAATCCGGATATTGTTACAGTAACAGTAACAATCAGTCGCGAACCACTGATCTATATTAAAACAGGCTGCCAATGTAACAGTACATTGCTAAAACTAAAAATATTTTTTTCACTCCAGTCATCATGTTTTATGGCGAATACAGTCCGCACCAGTCCAACAAAACTTCCTTCATCCATTGTAGTGAAATTCGTACCCATTTATAAATAGGGTTTAATAATATGTTCATATAAATAACCCCCAATTATAGCCATAAGACAAATTGATTCCTTGAAATTTTTTAAAACACTATGGATGACTTGTTTTTCTTCACTTAAATGTACTTTATTTAGTCTCTGTACTTACTCAGCTCGCTAAATAAAAATGGCTAAAAATTATCATTCTAATAAAACCAATTTTATTGCAGTTCATACAATTTATCTGTGTTTTAGTTTATTTTAAAGGTATATACCTTCTAAATATCACCCATGATTACACCATTAGCACTCATATTTATTTTAGCAATACCAACCTTAATTAGTTTCCTGTTTGTTTTTTAGGTTATGGTGCTCTCCCATATGTACAAATTTACTCCGATGTACGTTGTATCACACAATAATGAAGCTTTTAACATATGTGCCTCACCGGCCGATGTAATTCCGCATTCTGCAGGAAAAATTCTTAACAGTGTAGAAATTTACAATCCAGTTTTTGACTATGTACCACCAGAATTGGTCACATTGTTCATTTCACACCAGTAAGTAACATCTTTCCTTCGTTCTGTAATCGGACTGAAATAATTGCTTAAACATATATTTTCAAAATAAGTAAGTGTGTAATAAGTCAAGAATAATAACTAAAGGCCTGATAGACAATAACTTTTTATAAATCGCATGGGTAATACCTCCTTAAGAGTACCCAAAAACCATGTTTGTTATAACATAAAGTAAATTCATAAAACATTGCCTCAGAATAGATGCTCTTTTCACCTATAAACTCATTAAACTCATCATAAACCCATTATTTCAGCAAATATTTTAAAGCTATTGGTAAAAAATGATTTCGGGAAAAATCTTGGTAGACTCACTGGGTCGACAGCTTTGCACAAATTAAACTCATTCCTGACCTACCATATCTAGCAAATCTAACTCGATCTGAAGGACCATCAATCAAAAGCCTATGAATCGGTCACAAAAGATTGACACATGTGCATTTGATTTCCTTCGAAGAACGTCCAATCTGCCCGATTTGCAATTCTAACATTACCGTTAGCCATATACTTATGAAGTGATATACAACTTAAAGCTCTCAATAAAAACCATATTAAACAATAACAGTGAATATGTTAATGCATTGCAATGTATGAAAGATATATCAATTAACTGTTATAACAAAATTTAAAATTTAATATATTGGGACCGTGCAAGTTTGGAACAGCGACACCTGGTGTCGTAAATCAGCAAAATTTACTGCCCTTTCATGTTAGATCGAGGTTACCGGATCTGCCCCAAAAAAGAATAAGAAGAAAAAGTAAGATTAAGGTTATGTCGGTATGTTATTAAAAGGTAAACATTATATGTAGTGTAAATACAAATAAATATGTTATTAAATTACAGCATTACTGTTAATATGGATGCAATAATAAAAACTGGATTTGAGAAAGTAAATCACCAAATAACTTTTCAACCAAGCACTGAGTCTAAAAAAAAACTTTAGTAGTGGTAAATGTCAAAAAAGAATGGAAGAATTATGTGGAAGAATTAAGAAAAATAAATTACCATAAATAATGCTAATGCATAAATGTATAAATTAGCAGGCTAAGCCCATGATATCATCATATTGGTTTGAACAATTAATTATTTCCCTGCAAACTTTTGGACAGCGAATATATCTTAATGCATCTTAAGAAAAACTTGAACTTGATGCATTTTTGTAACATCAAAAAAATAAAATTTAAACATTAAACTTGATTTTTGGGTAAAATGAACTCTAAGTGAGTGTTATGAAACTAAAATTTACACTTAAAAGTGAACTTTTATTTATTATTTATTTCAAACTGACTTAAAAATCGGGCGCAAGAATAATGCATAATTTAGGTTATGTTACTTATGTTTTTTATGATATAAATCCACTTTTCTCTTTGTACTAATTTGTGCTTCGAAGTTGGAAACGAATAAAACTTAAATTGACAATTTTTTGTTGTATTTTTACAATTTATAACACAACATTTCCTAAATCCCATTTTCTTCAGTGACAGAAGGTGTAAATAAACAAACGAATATGAAATATGACAATTGACATTATGAATTTATGAAATCTATGAAATTTGCAGTAAAAAATGCAAGATTTCTCCGCTACTCGCGCACGATCGTTTCTCGTATCACATCCAAGTACTTGCACGTCGCCAATAATGCATGTTTACTGTTCCATACCAATTACCATAGTTGTTGAGGCATCAACTTAGAAAATGGAAGGAACATTGCAAAATATAATAAAGGTATAAATCATTGGAATAGTAATTAAAAAAATAAAGTGGGCTACTATCGTTACCAAAGTATTTAGAGTAAATGTTATGAAACTCTAATCTAAAAGAATTGGATCGAAGAAGTATCTTCTGCTATTGTACTACTTACAAAAGTGTTTTAATAATACCTATTATATGTACAAATGTAAACATATTTAAAAGTATAGTTCTTCCCCCAGATATAAGTACTGATTACTGTCCTAAAATGGATATAAGCTGGCTTTATAATAACGTCACTTTGAAGTAAAGTGTTTGTTTAAACGAGGTAAAAATTCAAACAATCAGCTACTAGATATATAAGGGGTAAACTATTTAATGACCGCAGCTGTACAATATACCCATATTTCTACCCACTTCACATCCGCTGTGACGTAAAGAATATAAGCTGAACTACCATACTTTACCTTCTCTGTTAATATACCAATATTTTGCGTTTTTTAGAAAACAAAGTTTAAAAATTAATTTGAATGGTTAAAATTAAGACCAAAAATTATTACATAATAATTGTATAATACCAATCTACTTATTTATTTATACTTATTTAGTTGAACGCCTTCTCAGCTACTTTGAAAGAGCTATACTTAATTGATGTGTCTCTAATATTTTTCTTTTCTATTTTAGGGGTGGTAATGCGCCTTCCTATGTTTATAGATTACTATCCGAATTGTACCACCAAGATGATTATGATATATAAAAATAAATATTTTGTTGTAATTATTGGATTATATTTTTTCTCCTAATATCCCTTTGTAGATATTGTAGCGTTTTTTTTTATTTAATGTGTATATAAAAGATTTCTTTTAGTACGCTCCTATTGTTTTTACCAAAGAAAACAATCGAAATAATACTTCAAGTCTTTTTTGACGAGATTTTTAAATGCGAAATAACGCTGGAAATATGTTTTTATCTCTGTGTTGCAATGTTAGGTAAAACAACAAGTTTTTTGTCGCCAAATAGGTATTATGTTACATGAAGTCCCCCTAATATTCCAGTTAAAATAATCAATAATGCGTATATTTCTACCGATTCAAAAGTAAATACAGATGTTTTTGTCTGTGTTTAGATTCAAATATCGAACCTTGTGTTACAAAGTCAGGTAGAACTCCGGTTTAAAATACGTGCTATTTTGTTAATTTGTATTATGTTATATCTATTTCGACAAGTGTTTTTGTATATAAAGGGATTATAATTTATGATAAAAAAAAGAGGTTTTATTTGTCTTTCATCGTTAGGAACGAATAAGAAGGGGAAGATGGTTTGTTTTTAAGTTTGTGGGCGACAGGCTAGCTGCAAGACGGAATGGAATTTATTTTGGCTTTGAATTGGTAAAGTGTAACGCGGATGAGGGGTCGACTTTTAAGTTCCAAGCAGGGCAGACGTGTGACAATGTAAGTGGAAGAACAGATTTGAAACGGTGGTAGACGCTTTTGCGGATATATAATGCTGGGGCAATTGTGAATCGAAGAGTCGATTTAATTTTTTAGTAATGTCTTAAGACCAGTTAAAGTAATGATACTCTTTGCTTTGCATAAGCAGCTTTGTCAGAGTGGTCATTGGACTTGAATGGAAACTGGCAATTTTTGAGAAGTATGGTATAGAATGTCCCCGTAAGTCAGCTTGATTCCTCCACCAAGTTCCTGTTTAGATCGTTCCTGCCTGAGTACGGAAATAGTTTCCTGTTTTCCATTTTGAAAATCTGTCCAAGTAGCTTCCAGAGATGTAGCAAGTTTTTTCCTTTTCAAAGTTAAGTGAAATATGTGAGAAATAAGGTAACCTTTAATATATTAATTTTTTTTTCCAAGTTATAAAGACATTTTTAATAATTGCTTTCATTAAAATAAAAGGATTTGTAATAATTAAAGTTTTATATAATTTTTGTCGTAGAGGTTAAATTCAATAATATTTTCATAAAAAGGATATCCATAAAGTTTTAATAATCTAAATTGGCCATAATATAACCTAGAAACCATTTAAAATTTTTGTAGCAATCTTTTATGTAAACAAAGAACATGTAAGTTTTTGTTATTTTGTATTATGTTATATAATATGTTTCTTTTATAATCTGTATTTTTGATAACTGTTTGTTTGAGACAAAAATAAATGTTTAATTTGTTTCACTGACCTATTTTGAGTTTTATTTGAAAAAGATATTTTTTTCTATAGTTTTGATGTTCTATAATTATTTCCCTAGTTACAACTAGTGGTTGTAATAGGTATAATTAGGCACCTCAAGTGGCGCCCTATATTAAATTCCTTGAGGTGTTTCCGGTTTATTTTCATTCTGTTTGTCCCAAGAGATTTGTATATGTACCCCTTTTTTTGGTAGTTGCCCCAATCCAACCCCCAATATCCTCAACTTATCCACGACCCAGCTCTCCAACAACCAACTGAGTGCCGTACGCACTTGTTTCGATTATTTTGTTTGCCCAATCTTGTCCCCCCATTATCTTACCCTGTGGTAAGCAAAATAGTCGTTACAATATATACGAAATCCTTATAAAACCGGTCCTTGTATATGGATCAGAGACATGGACACTGTCGAAAAGCGATGAGAACCTATTAGGTACGTTTGAACAAAAATTTCTTAGACACGTATATATAAGTGGATGAAAGATAATTACATATGGAGCAGAAAATATAATTTTGAACTATACACAGCATACAATGAACCCGAGGTCATAACATCCATAAAGATCGGACGTCTGCGCTGGATGGGCCATGTTGAACGGATGTTGGAGACTGAAACACCAAAACATATAATAAGGCAAACACCAGTAGGGAGAAGGTCAAAGGAAAGACCCAAACTTAGACACGTGGAACAAGATCTGAAAACACTTTACAAACACAGATTACCAACTGGAAAAACAAAGCAGGGAACAGAACAGAATTTCGAAAAATCCTCGAAAGTTGGTTGTGTTATAGAGGTAGTAACTTTTATCAGAACGGCCACATCGAGCATTATAGACGGAACACCAAACGAAATCACCAACGACCGTCGGTATAAATGGTCTCCTTTAGTAACAATAAAACACTGAAAACTTTGTTTTCAAAACTACCACAAAATTTATATTGTTCTGAAGCTATTTTCTATTTCTTATTTAGGTTTGTATTTTGAGAACGATTTCCGAAGTGGAAATTGAAACGTCAATAAACGTATTTTTATCTTTAATTGTGGCTTATTCCCAGTTTAACAGTAATTAATTCCACAAAATTTATTATAAACTCTTATCACTACAGCTGTTTCGGCTGATTGCCTTTCTCAAGTGTCTCCTTTAGATCTACCAACAGCTTCCTGTAGAAAGTAGAAGGGTGCACTCTGTTGCCCTTGAGTGAAAAATAGACTTTAAAGGCGGATAAACCAATACGGTCAAGAGCATCAGGCAGCAGAAATTACTACATTAAATATCCTTTATGGATATCTCTCATTAAGTGCATCAACAATGGCCCCGATCGGAAATCACAATAGATGAAATGAAAATAGTCCCGAGAAAAGCTAAGAATAATAAATCTCCAGGCGAAGATTGTGTAGATACTGATGCAATCAAAATCAGAGGTACTTGCCTACTTAAGAAAATAAAAAACCTTTTGGACAGTAATATACCCGGCAAATGGCACAATGCTGAGGTAATTATATTGTACAAAAAATGAATTAGAAAATTACAGACCTATAAGTCTTCGTAGTCACCTATACAAAGTCCTTACAAGACTAGTAACTAATCGTCTTGAGAAAAAACTTGATTTCTACCAGCCATTAGAACAAGCGGGATTTCGTACCGGATTTGGAACAAATGCTCATCTACAGAACATTAAAACGGTAATAGAAAAGTCTATCGAATACAATCGACTCCTTTGACATAAAGCCTTGCCTTCCATAAAGTCTACAAAGTACAAATAAAAAGTAGAATTCAATGAGCAAGAGAGAATTTGCAAACATTTTAAACAGATGCTGCTCAAATAGCGCTGTTGGCTTATCCGGAGGCACCAAACATATTGGAAGAAATTGTTGTAGATACTTTCATCACTGGGTTGAGAGACAGTAAACTACAGAAAACTTTACGACTAGCAAGACCGAAAATTTTAGATGAAGAGTCCACCATTGCCTTGGAACACGAAGTAGCTATTCAAGCTTCACGGAACTATCGAGTACGAACCTTGGAAGAGAGCGACGAACAAAACGATAAACGTTTGGAGGAAATCGTACGGAAAGTAGTTCGTAACACGATGCCAAAGAGACGCGAACTCAGATGTTGGAATTGTGGCGACGTATAAGATATACGTCGCCGATCACATTATAGATCACATTCGCCGTAATTTGCAAGAAAATAATACTACAGTCAGAAAGCTAGAACTTAGTTGAGTGCATCGTGGCTAGAACTGATCAAATACTGGTCTGGAAAAGTCATTCAATTGCTGATGCTCAGTCAAGACTGTCATGCAGTGCAAATTGTATTAACTGTTTTAAATTAGAAGAACGACTTTGCTCCCTGAGACGAACCACCGGCATTAATAATTATAAATATATATATATATATATATATATATATATATATATATATATAATATATATATATATATATTTACATAAATTAGATACAATACTCTTATTTTTATAAACTTAAAGCATGCTGGGAAACCTTAAAGTTTTAAAATTATAAAATTATTTACTTAATAAAAGTAAGAACTGCATAGAAAAAATCTAATAATTTTAGTCATGCAAGTATAAAAATAAGTGTAAGACAAGGATTTACTTTGTTAACTTACTGAAATAACAATGAATAAGAAAGCATTTATTCTGAACTATAGCAGTGCTATGGACCTAATTATTATTATAGGATACAAAATAGGTAAGTTGCAAATACACAGGGAACAATGAAAAAAGTCAAAACTATAAATGTAATTGTGTATAAATTAATAATGGGTCACATAATGAGATGCTTTATTTAGATCTCTTAACTTTGTCAGATTTCCCCTTTTGCAAATACTTTTTGGGAATATCTGGTGTAGATTCTCTTTCAGTTAACCATAATTCGATATTACAGGGTGAAGACATATATGGATTGATCCTACCATGTGCTCTGTATGTACGACGTCTCAAACAAGCAGCTCTGTTTACCTGGATATGTTCTACCACCAATCTATCTACATCAAGTCCGCTATAATCAGCATTACTTTCAGCATTTCGTAACAGATGCAAAAGAAATTCTGCTGACTTTTTGGGCCACCTTCCCTGAGTAATACCAAATTGTTTAGCTTGAGCACAACGACCAACTCCACCGTTGAAGCTTTTAAACGGAACACATTCTTTCTGTGTTATTACATTTTTTAAATACGCCACAGCTCTTTTGAGCGGCATTTTCCTAATTGCGTTTGCAGTTTCACATGTGTTCTTGAAATGGACTCTCAAATTTGAGCCCTTAGCTTTGCAGGACTTTGCGGCATTTTCTGGTTCACGCGCATACCGGACCATTTTTTAAATCTAAAAATTAATCAAAAGTAAATTTTTTTTTAATATTTGTATGACTTTATCTCTATTTCTTACTTTTTGTTTGTATGTTTGAAGATTTAAACCAGAATTACACCTTTCTAAACATTAGCCTAAACAAAGTTTAAAGAAGAAAGAATGAATATTGAATATTATTTGTCTTGTATTGACAAATCAATTTTAAACTGTCAAAATGACCGGTGGTCTGCAGTTAACTTATTATGATATTTTTGTAATGGAATTTCTTATTAATAGATTCTGTGTAAATAGTTAGTTAAAAATTGTTTCTTATTCTGTGGTTAAAATAATGGTTTATGTTCAATTTTTGAAACATTAACAGCTTGGGCTCGTGCCATCGAGTTGTTAGAATCTAGATTCTAACTCGATGGCTCGTGCTCTCTGTATACATACAACCAACATTACACTTTCATTACCTGTTTTTTATAATTTTGATAATTGGTAAAAATAATTACATATTTTGTAGATGTTTGTTAATAATACACTTTGAAAAAAATTAAATGCATGTAGTTTTTCACAGAAATTTATGATCACTGATCATTGAAGTCTAAACCACCTCTAAACCTAGAGTTGAGAGCAAAGAGCAAGTTATTTAAGTGTAAGGAAATGAGGTCTGTGTGTATCGTGAGGTTAGGTTATAGTATAGTCAATAAGTCAATGTTTACATTTTGGTAAAAAGAAGTTATTAAGTTATAAATTAATATTTCTGATAAAACACAACCTTTAGAAATATTGTTTACCAATTAAAATGTGAGAATATACTATAACAAACAAGCGACAATATTTTAAAATGTTATCTAGAAATATAAGAAGACTGTTAGGCATCACAAAAAAATTAAGAGCTAATAAGTCAACCTTATCATGGAAAATACCAGAGTACCCTGTATTTAATGAAGAATATATTTGTGATCCTAATAATGTAGATGCCATTGAAAATAATATTTTACATAGAAAAGGTGTAGGTAATATTAAATTAATACATGAACTAAAAAGGAAGCTAGAACAAGCAGATGAACATACCAGTGAATATAAAGATATAAGAAAACAATATCACAAAGAATTAAGTTTATTACCCAATAACACCCATCCTGATATTTTTAAGTATGGTGATAAACCAAAGGAAATAAAAGTAGTCAAAGATAAGAAGCTTTTTACTTTCAAATGCAAAGAATTCAGTGAAATAGCCAAACGCCTTAATTTAGTTAGAACTGAACAGTTAGGAAATGTTGCAGGAAATAGAAGTTATTATATTTTAGGTATGAAGTTCTTATATTTTACAAAAGTGTAGGCTCTAAGTAATTTTTTTATGTATGTGTATAACTCTTTATCTCTAGTGTTTAACAATTAGACTAATACCATTAGGAAAATCTCAGCAAATGTAACAGAATAATAAGTACTCTGGAGTAACTAAATAAAAGATCTGGAGCTTTCCCTTTCAGTGTTCTATCATTAATGTCATTTGAAGCATTAGATTGTAGTTTAATTTTTTGTATGAGCATTATCCAAATAATCTGGTTTTAGCTAGATATTTTTTCATTTAATTTTTTAAAGAGGTTCTGTTTTCTCTTGGCATGTCAAAGTTAAATATTGTTCTTATGTGTGATTAATTAACTATTGATTTTAATGAGAATTACAATTTACATTTGTTTCGACTTTAAGATTTCCAATCTGGAAATGAAGAAATTATTAGTGTTAACCTGTACTTAAATGTTTATCTTTACAAATATTTATTTGTTTATCTTTATAAACATTAACAACACCCTGGTATACAGGTCTCTTATATTAAAGCTGCATCAAACCCATAAAGGACCCATCAAAGCTTTGACCCATAAGGAATATTCTAGACAAATTGTTTCAGTCAACTTAAGTGAAACCACTTTTACTTAAGAAAAGTGCCAGGGTCCTTTGCAATTGTACACAATTGATTTGTTTAATTTGGCAATTGAAGTATCTATCATAGAACTCTCTAGGTGCCGTTCCAGATCTGAGACATATATTACTATGGTTTCAACTTTCTGTGTACATACTGTTGAGAAAATTGCCCACTGTTCAAAATTTAAATTTAGTTCTTATAAGCATTGAGAAATTTCCCAAATTAAAATTAATCTTAAAAAAATGAAATGTTTTTGTGATAAATTTTACATAATCAGGTATCACTCATTCACGTAAATATTTCAGGTGATCTAGCAGAATTAGAGCAAGCTTTGGTAGATTACTTTGTAAACCAATTAATCACTTCAAATTATGAAATCGTTTCTGTCCCAGACATATTACCAAGAGATATAATAGAGAGTTGTGGAATGAACACAAGAGGAGAACGTAATCAAGTAAGTAATTTATTGCATGGTATATGTGGGGTCGTATTTCTTTTTAACTTAGATATTAAAGTTATAACAACTGTTTTTACTTAGTAACTTACTACTTGCTTCTTAGATGTCATAGTGTTATGAATTCCATCAACACATATGAATTCTGTCATCCGCAACCCACCTTCTCATTACAAATTTTGCCAAGATGTTTTAGACCCGATACAATACTTCTTTAAATTTTTGGACCTCCATGACGTTGGAAATCATTCTGGCGAATAAGATACCTGTCCAGTCGCGAATGTTCTTTAGACTCGATGCTTCTTTCTACCAACTCCTCTTCATCTTTTTATCTTGCCCTCTGTTATTAATTGTAAGATAGATACTGGTTGTCATGACGAATGTTGTCTAAATAGGAAATTTTTTCTATATAATAGGTTCTTCCACCTATGGTATTCATAACATTCTTCTGTGAATCTAGATATCTAGGAGCTCCAGTCGATTTAGTCACTTTAAAGTCTGTATTGCAATGACCATATATAATATTTTACCATTGTCCTAGATTCAGGTTGGTGTTATCATTGCAGAAGAGGGATTTTATTTCCTACAAATTACTCTTTGAATTGGTTGTCTTTTATAAGTAAGGTAAAAGTTTGAATCAGGATGTGGATTTTGACTTATTTGGTCTTATTCTCATATATATTCAAAAACAATTTTCTCCCTACTTCGCTGACACAGGTCAGCAGATGCTTGAGGTCTTCTGATTATCATATAAAATTACAGTGTCATCTACATACCTGATATTAATGATCAGTTTCCTGTTTACTTTTATATCAAATACTTGGTCTTCTACTGCTTCTTTAAAAAACTTGTCAGAATATAGATTAAAAATTACTTGTATAACTGCCAACTGTTACATTTGTCTTGCATATCCAATATAAGTTTTATTACTACTGTTTCGATTACCATCTCCATTTTTTTTGTAATATTTCAATAAGCTTCGCTTATTTTATATTATCGAAGGCCTTTTCATAATCTACGAAATACACATAAGCGGCTCTTCGTTGATATATGTACTTCTGGAGTATATTAAGTGCAAATTATGTATCGTCGAGGACATCTTCGCATTTATTACTGCCTTGGTCATGTTTAATTTGGAAGACTTTTAAAAGTATGGCTCATAAGACTGATGATTCGGTACTGTGTAGTGTTGCAGTCGTTCCAGTCTCGAGCATCGAGCAAAAAGACAAAAGAGGGAATGTATACCTTATGAAAAGGAGACCAAAAAAGTGGCCTCTGATGGCGGACATATCCGGAAATGCAAATGCGCCAAATTTAAATTTTCCGACACTTATCAACAGTAGCTACATAATATTTTTCAGAATGTGGCTTAGACGAGAAAGTTTTAATTAATTATTAACGATAATAGTCTAAAATGCGACACAATTGTTAAAAAACTTCAATATAAATAAGATTTCATGTGACATTTGGGACAAACAATAACATAACCCAACTAAATTTGATGTCAGACAAGGAGAGAGACTCTCTTTCCTTGTTTAATGTGGCCTCTAAAGATCGCACTTCCTGTCTAAGAATATGTTTGTCCCCACTACCTTTACATTCCCTCTTTTGTCTTTTTGCTCGATGGTCTCGAGATACTCTTTGTTTCGGTTTTCGATACCAAAGTAGAGTTTTATAGACTTCTTTGAAAAGTTTAATAATAATCTGAATGTTATCTTCGTTCAGTATTTTGAGGAGTTCAAAAGGAATGTTATCCAGACTGACTAATTTTTTAAATTCAAATCTATTTACCCCGTATCATTTCTGATGGTAGTGGTTCTGAACTTTGTTTTAACTGCCTTAGTTCTATATATCTGGCCTAAGATCTTCAAACTGCTCGATAATGTAGGAGCTGTAAGATTTTACGATTTTTTACTCGTTAATTATAAGTTTATCTCAGTCGACAGATAAGACATATTAGTGTATAAGATCTTTATCGTATATGAAGCTTAATTTCGTCTTTAAATTTGTTTACAATTTTGATAATATCTTCTGCTTCACTGGCTTTACAACTCGGGGTGATTCTTCGCCATATACACTATCGCCCTCCATCCTCTACGATATCTTTTATTTCCCATTGTTGTACCCCAATTCTAGATAAATCGGCTTTAACATCATCCTTCCATCTCTTTCTCGGTCGGCCTACTGATCTTCTACCATCTGGTCTTTCAAAAAACACTTTCTTTAACACTCTATCATTGTCTGATCGTATCACATGACCTGTCCATTTTATTTGGTGTGCTTTGATATGTCTAACTATGTTTTCAGTTCCATACAGAGTCACCAATTCAGAATTGCGGCGTGTTCTCCAATTCCCTGTGAATTCATCACTTTGAGGGCCAAATATTATTCTGATAGTATCTGACTTATACCTAATAGATTGTCATATAAAAGCAATGAATTAATTCTTAGGTATATACATTAGATCCTAAAAGACATGCTTCGGACCTATGTCTCTCTGGAACATCTGAAATGGCATTAGCAGGATATTTTGCTGGTGAAACATTGTCTGAGGAAGATTTGCCAAAAAAGGTAGCTGCTGTAAGCAGATGTTATAGGGCTGAAACATCAAGTGTGGCTGAAGAAAGGGGAATCTTTAGGTAAGTAGAAGTACACGACAAATATGTCTTCAAACAAGTCTTAGTTCTGATCGATGTGTATTTATAGTTGCTGAATGGTAACAATACTATTATACAATTTTGTTAGTATTTATTTTACACCCTAGGATGTTCTTCTTCTTCCTCTTTATAAGCAATTCTGCTTGTTCATTGACGGATTAATACCTCTATGGAAGGTTATCACTCCATCTTTTGCGCGGTCGTCCGATACTTCTTCTGCCGATTGGTGACTTATCTCTTGCTATTTTTGCAACACGGGTCTCCTCCATTCGGCTTATGTGGTTATCATATACGGTACATTTTCTTCTAATGTCTTTACTTCTCTTTGTATCTCTCAGCGTATTTCCTGCAATTATTCTCAGTACTCTCATCTCTGCCATTTCCAGTAGCATTTGCGTTATGAATGTGCCGGGTCTTGTTTCTGAGGCATACGGCATTATTGGTCTTGCACTGGTTTTATAAATTCTTAACTTCATCTCAGTGTTAATGTGTCTATTTCGCCATATAGTGCTATTAAGGCATCCTGCCAGTCTATTAGCTTTTTGTACCTATTTTTATATACTTCATCTAATTTAGATAACGACTTACGTCATTATCTACGTCAGAGATCGGAGTTGACATAGTTGCCAAAGTATAAAAAAATCCTGACTCCATTTTAAATCAAATAGATTACATAATTATTGCAAAAGTATTACCATCTCTTTACAACGACTATTTAAATTCTTACCTGACATTTTTGAAATAAAACACTAATTTTGTTCTAAAAAGAACAGATTTTATTAGATAGTTAAAAATATAAAACAAGAGATATTCACTTTAAAATTCAAAATAATGAAGTGCAAAAAGTGTCAACACCGCAACTGTCAAATAAGTGTTACCAATTTATGCCAAAATTTTACCTTCGTTCAATTACAGTTACAGTGTGTTTCGAACAAATGTTGTTGATAAAAACGCTTTATAATGCATTTATACAAATTAAATGAAACATATTATTGTGTATTTCTTCAAGTTAACATTAATAGAAATTTTTAAATATGATTTCTACGCGTATATAATAAAATATGTCTAGTGGCTGTAATGTCAGTGTACTCGGTAAAGTGGTTCTAAAAAAGAACACACCTACACCCTAAATATTTTGTGTTGGTATCATGTGACGCCACAGGCTATGACGCCGATGACGTGCATCGTTATATAAATTAGATGAAGTGTACTTATGTCTTTGTCATAGTTAGACAGTTTAATTCCCAGGTATTTTATTTCCATTACTTGTTCAATACTGATGCCATCAATTTCTATTTTACATCTGGTTGTTTGTTTGCTGATCACTATTGTTTTAGTTTTCTGGTATGAGGAGATTGTCATATTAAATTCTTTTGCTCTTATGTTAAATCTGTGGACCAGTCTTTACAGACTATCCATCTTTTTTAAATATCTTTTTTGAAAACGATTTCTGGAGTTGAAATCGAAACGTCAAGCGTTATAAACAATGTAATTTTCATTACAAGTAATTATTGTGACTTAACCCCACATAAACATAATATTTAACTTAGACATACCATAAGAAAACAGTTTCAGAACCTTTTTTCCAATGAATATTGCCAAATATCAGGGACTAAGGTAGACTCTTTTAAGTGGCTTACTTACTTTACTATATCGTGTCCGGACATCCAGATGTCTCAGTATCGGGCTACGTCGGTTCCATCTTTGTTGGCGAGCCACAAATCTTCGAGGGTACATCGATAAGGACAGTTTCTGCATGTAAGAAGATGTTGCATATTCTGTGTTGCTCCACAGTCACAGTTCACATCATCTTGGTATTTTTCCCCATTTTGCTATGTTTGATTTTACTGGAGCGACCCCCGTTCTTATCCTATTGATAGTTTTCCACGTTTTAAAGTCTAGGGACTGGCCGGTCCATTGAACCTGGGGAAGAAAAAAATACTCAGGCGGTTCATCCCTGTTACAAGAAAGATTTTTCTTAATTTTAGTCGCTTTGTGGTGTTCGAGCTTTGTATAGGGCATGACGATCGTCCGCGATCTGTTTGATTTGCATGTCTCTGCATGTCTCATTTAGCATATCAACTTGTTTGGTGTGAGCAGATCTGCCCCAAACGGGGCACGCATATTCAGCAGTTGAGAAACACAGTTCCTGTGCCATTGTTCTTAAAACGCCAGGACGTGCACCTCATTTACTTCCCGTTAGCTTTCTGAGTGTGCTGTTCCTAGTTGTTACTTTCCCTCTCGTTTTTATGCACTGTTGTCCGGAGGTGAGGGACCGGTCCAGAGTTACTCCAAGATATATAGGTTGGTTTGTGTGTTCTAATGTATTACCATTTCACGCAATTTGGAGTTTTCGCTTGGCTTCCTTTACGTGAAAGTGTAAAGCGCAGACTTGGGTTTTAGATGGATTGAGCCTCGGGAAATTCTGCAGTCATTGGTTTTAAGGCAGTTTCAAGATTCCCCTCCACTGCTTCAAAACTATTTCCTTGAGCAGATATTGGAAGATCGTCAGCATAGAGAAAGTGCTTGGTTTCGGTCGGCGTAGGTTGGTCGTTTGAGTATATATTGAAGAGCATTGGTGCTTAAACACTTCCCTGTGAGAGGCCGTTTTTTTAAACTCTCTACCTACTTATTTTACCCTCCAACATAACGAAAAAACGTCTGTTTTGCAGTAGGGAATATAGGACCTTACCTAGATGGTGGTCATTGAGAGTGTCGTATAATTTGCGGAGCAATGTTTAACATATAGCTAACCCTATATAACTAATTTAACTAAACTTATATTAATTAAACTTATATTTTAAAATTTCGATTTCCACTTCGGTTTCACAAACTTGTGTTTAATTCCCATTCCCAATTCCCAATTAAATGATGAATGGGTTGTACATGTGAGTCCATTTCAAAAATAAATATTAAACTTAATCACAATCAGTTTATTGTACCTTGGAGTACAATATTACTAACTAACTAACTAAACTACCTGTACTAATTAAATGAGTAAATAATATTAAAATGCCATAATAAGAAAATAGGTTCAGTCCAATAAAATTGATGAATGAAAATTTGTTATTCATCGTCAGCTCTCCGGAAATGTAACTAAATGATGTCGATTATTTAGTATCGGCATAATTTAGCTACTAAGTTACGGGAGACCTGACGGTGAACAGCAAATTTTAGTGTTCGAAACCGATCGTCTAAAGCAGGGGTGCTCAAACTTGAACTGTTGGAGATCTACCTCAATATTTTTAGACTACTTACGATCGACTCTGAGAGACTGCAAGTGTGTGTGATGCAGGGTTGTCGTACATACACGATACACCCTACCTACCTAGGTAGGGCGTACCCTAGCATATATAGATATTAGCTTTCTGCACAATATAGGTACATTATTTTAGTCAAGGTTTGGGTTAGGTTCAGTTAGGTTCTTCTCTACAATATCAATGAAAAAACTCATAATTATTCAAAGTTGCGAGTTTATTTGTTATTACAAAACAAAAGAGTTACATATGGTGTTAAACTTAACTAAGGAGTGGCTTTGGATGTTGAAGCGTGGCACTGCATGTCCTCAGCATACTTTTCATAAGATGGTACGTAACCACTGAGTGCTAATCGCAAGCATGATGTCATATGATCGTCAGTTAGTCGATTGCGATATCAGAAAATGCAGACTCGCACAAGTAAGTTGACCCAAAAAATGCCGTCAGTTGAAGGGCGATTTGCCTTACATTCGGATATTTATCTTCAGATATAAAACGCCAGAAATTTGTATCAGATACTGTAGCTTTGAGATGTATATCTTATATAATCTGCACCAACTCATTTTCAACAGAACATGAGTTCGTATTAAACTGACTTGCTATTTCAGTAGCCAATTCCTCAATGTTTTTACACGAAAAAGGATAACTCGTAAATGATGCTATATTTTCCAATTTACTGCAATCATAAAAACGCATTTCGAATTGTCCCAAAATATTTGATAATTCAGCCTCATACGTATCATAATTCAACTGAGGAATCCTTGCTTTCAAAGACGGAAAATGTTTCAGATCCTTTCTTTTCAGTTGATCTATCATAAGTTGCAATTTACTTTTGAATGCGTTTACTGCGCTAATCATCTCAATAATAGTTTTTCCTTTACCTTGAAGCTCCAATTTAACGGTGTTTAAGTGCATTGTGATGTCAGTCAAAAATGCCAAATCATTTAGCCATTTTTCGTTTTTCAAAATCTGAGTGTCATCACCTCTTTCGTCTAGAAAATCTGTTATTTCGGGCAATAATTCTTGAAACCTTTCTAGGAATTTTCCGCGACTCAACCACCTGACGTCCGTGTGAAGAACTAAATCAGTGTGTTCAGCTGACTCCTTATCTTCCAACTGCAACTGAAAGAGCCGCCGTTGCAAGCTACGTGCACGGATGGAATTCACAATTTTTGTTGCAATGCCCATAATTTCCTCCGTGTTTTGAACACAAAACTTGTTGATGTATAATGCAATGGAATTAAAAAAAAGGAGGGAATTCTTCATTAGCTCGACACAATGCCACAAAACCGTTTTTATTTCCAGTCATTGCTGGTGCTCCATCGGTTGTAATGCACATTAATTTATATATTGGTAGCTCGTAGTTTTTTACAAAATTTAAGAAAACGTCATATATATCTTCGCCACGGGTCTTCCCCTTCAGAGGAATGATTGTCAAAAATTCTTCCTTAGCCAACACGTCATTGAGTACCATCCGAATAAAAATACACAGCTGTGCAGTGTCTGTCATATAGATGGATTCGTCAAACTGTAAAGAAAAGTATGTACATTCCATGATATCATGTTTTAGTTTATCTGCGATGTCTTGACTCATGACTTCAATACGCCTTGTGACAGTCGGACGAGATAACTGAAGTTCTCTAATAGCAGACATAATTTCTGTTTAATTTTTAAAATCTCCAAATAAAGTCTCACCCGCTTCAATAAATTCTTCCTTCACCACAGATCCATCTTCAAATGGTTTCTTGTGTTTCGCCAAAATATGAGATATTTTAAATGACGCGATCGTAGCAGCTTGGCTGGTCTTCTGAACATGGATTGTTCTTTTTTCAAACAAGATATCAAATCACTTACTTTTCGTTTTCTTAATTCACTCTGTGGCGGAAAATCCTTTTCATAGTTTTTATGAACCGTTTTATGATGCCTCTCTAAGTTACCACGCTTAGGTATTGCAACTGACGCACGACAAATAACACAAATGCACTTATCCTTCACCATAGAAAAGAAAAATTCTCCTCCCAATCCTTATTAAAATGATACGTTTTAGGATCACTATCAAGTTACAATTCAGAATAACTCCAATTCCTGCAGGCGCAACATTTATATCGGCGTGAACGAAAGTCTCGAATGGTCCCGTCAAACGCGCCGCCCGAAACTAGACTGTACTGTCTCTTGTCTAGAAACAACACGGCTTCTCTTTGACAAGTGCCGCGCGTTCCTTTGATAAAGCCACCCGTTGCCGCAAGCAGTGTTATTTTATTACGTAATGCATTTTTGTAGTTGATAGAATATCATCCCAAATTTGATTAATAATTATAATAAATATTGAATTAATAAAATAATTAGTTAATATATGTAAATATAAAATATGCTGTGTGGACAGTATTTTGTTGTCCCCACTTCTTTGAATTGCAATGATGCTTAGTCAAGCATTCTATGTATTTGTATAGTTCAGTATTAATAAAACGTTTAACTCTGCTGACAGTAGTTTAGTTACCTACCTATTTATTAAATTTTTTTTTCTTCTCGAGATCTACCGATCTACCGAGTAAAAGCACTCGCGATCGACCGTTTGAGCACCCCTGGTCTAAAGTATAATAAACTGATTGTAAATCTAATATTAATTTTTTTGTCATACTTCAGAACAATGTTTCTTTCTTTATTAATCAAATATATTTTATAGGGTACATGAATTTACAAAAGTAGAAATGTTTCTGGTTACGACCCCCGAATTGTCGGATCAAGCTTTAGAAGAAATCCGTAGTTGGGAGGAAGAACGATATAAATCTCTTGGGCTTCATTTTCAGGTTCTGGATATGCCGCCACATGAACTCGGCGCCCAGGCTTATAGAAAATACGATATAGAGGCTTGGATGCCAGGCAGGAAAGTTTATGGAGAAATTTCCAGCTGCAGTAATTGCACAGATTATCAGTCAAGGAGGTACAATAGTTTAAGTTTTTATATATTAAGATGAGGAACTACGACAGATGTATAAGTACTATAGATAACATATTTGAATCACAATGTGCGGTGTATTTATGCACCAGAAGTCATGTATGTCTGTCTTTTCTGTCTATAAGTATGTCTTCATGTATCATATTTTTGTCGATTTTAACGCGGCATATGACAGTGTCTTAAGACCAAGTCTTTACAACGCTATGAATGTGTTAGGAATTCCAAAAAAACTAATATGTTTGATAAAAGTGACAATGGCGAAGATGCTATCAGCAGTAAAAATTCAAAACGACTCGTCAACCCCAATTCAAATACATAGGAGGTTAAGGCAGGGAGATGCGCTGGCGTGTCAGCTTTTTAATGTCGCCTTAGAAAAAGTTGTACGAGACGCTAATTTAGATAGCAGGGGAACAATATTTAATAGATCAGTCCAAATTCTAGCATATGCAGACGACGTGGACATTATAACAAGAACTAGGGCGAGAACTGCGGAAATCCTAACCGAGCTAGTAGCAGCAGCAGAACGAATGGGGTTACATATAAATCAAAATAAAACCAAATTCATGGCGACTAACACAAACACAAGAGCTGGAAATGTTGACACAAATTTAATCATTATTTAATCTGTCTCAAAAAACTCGTATAAGGCTGTATAGAACACTGATAGTCCTCGTTCTCACATACGGATCAGAGGCATGGACGCTAACGAGAACAGATGAATCCGCTCTATCCATTTTTGAAAGAAAGGTGCTAAGCAAGATATTTGGAGCGGTCTGTGAGAACGGAATATGGAGGCGTAGATATAACTTCGAACTGCAGAATATCTACAAGCATACGTTTGGTGGTAAAGATATTACCACTATAATTAAGCGAAACCGCCTGCAGTGGGCAGGACATGTAGCCCGGGCCCCTGAATCGAACATGATAAAAAAGATTCTAACAGCGCAACCTGTGGGAATGAGACGACGGGGTAGACCAAAGCTGAGGTGGATGGATGGGGTAACACAAGATGCGGAGAAGATCGGAGTCGGCAACTGGAAAATTCAAGCAAGGGACAGAACAGAATGGTGTAGAAAGCTTGAGAAGGTCGAGGCCCTCTAAGGGCTGTAGCACCAAGATGATGATGATGATGAAGTATGTCTTCGTTCACACTATGATATGTTCCAGTCTCTCCTCCAAAGTTGATTGTGCTACGTGTAGCGATACTACTTGGTTAAGTAGAAATCGTAATTAAGAATCGTACCTTTCTCTTTCCAAGTCTTCAACGATTAGCGATTAAACCCAGTGCACTGATAATCCGCTGGAGAGAAAAGGCAAAGTATGCTAAGATACTCGACCGAATCGAGAAGGGCATCCCTGACGAACAAGTCTGTTCCACAGTTGATAAGATTCAGATGACAGTTACTGGAGACCTGTTGATTATCCTAAGTAGAAAACTGATGGAGGTCTAGGGTTAAAGAAAATTATTACCGACCTTCTCAGAAATGACACTACTGTCATCAGTAGAAGATCTGGAAATTTAAGATCTCGATATTTTGAAACAGGAAATCCTTTTAGTGCTACAAAAGGCGAATGGAGAAGAGTACCAAATCCATCAGGACGCAATCACATCATTGCGAAAAGTCTATAAAGGCACTTAGACTGCGTTAGTGACACTGGAAGTAACAATAGCAAAAAATATTCTTGGTGAATAGGGCAAGATCAAGATTGGCTGGATTAATTGCTAAATAGTCAGTGAAAAGACCAACCGAATGCTTTAAATGTTGGTGTTATGGTCATCTCGTCACTAACCTCGAGTTTTAACCTTGTTTAGGCTTACGCCTCTTCAAGGAACGGGGAACTCCTTTTTTTGTCGGAGTTGTAGGGGTTACGAGAAAAAACGTCAACTGATCGAAACGCGGCCTAAGAAGCAGAGAACTGCTAAGGAAAGAAGGGGAAAAGAAGGTGGCTTATTTTGTGATCGATAAGAATCGTGAACGCACAAGAAGAAGTGGGATTGCCTAGCATGCAGTGAGGTACTTCAAAGTTACCAGCCATACAGTAGGAACGGCTCTTTATCAGCGTTTTTGGTGCACAGTTTATCTGCGATAGTAGATGGGGAAAGATTCTAAAATATCAAAATACTCCTCAGGAAGTTCAGGTCCAGCGTTATGCAGAAGTTTAGCTGGAGGGAATGGAACTTTTTTAGCGGGATGCCTGGTGAGTATTTGCCCTCTATGTGAACAAGGTGTCTTTAATGTTTGTTTTGCTCGGTTGTTCGAGCCAGCTATGGTTCTTAAGACATACTTCCTACTGAGGGTTAGGATTCTATCCTTGATAGGTGTGATGTTAGCTATTGCGTATATGTGGGCCGATGGATACAGACAGCCAGTCTTTTCTCACGCAGAAACGTAGTATTCTACGCTCTGTGGCGGTGATGGCATTGAGTTCGTGGTTCCTCAGGGAGAGGTAAACGCATGCCTTGTATTCGATAATCGGTCTGATAAAAGTCTTGTAGGTGTGCAACAATGTGTTAGTGGACGTTCCTCCTAGTTTACCGGCCAACACTTTCAGGAGATTGAGCCTCTTTCTCATCCTGTCAAGGCAATCTTGGACGTCAGTCTTCCAGTTGAGAGTTCTCGTAAAACGAACTCCCAAGTAGAGAACTGAGTTCCTGAGAATAAGGTACTCTCCCAAAAGTGTCACCCGGCCTTGAAGGCCGCGTCCGTAAGGGGGTCTAAATAGGATTGCTTGTGTTTTGGAGGGGTTTAGAGTAACCCTTCATTTGTTGCACCACCTCACGACTCTGTCAAGATAATCTTGCGATTTCTCGAATACAGACCGTCGCTCTCCTTCCCTGTAGGAGCCTGAGGTAAGAATAGCTGTATCATCAGCGAATAGGAGAAGAGACTCTGATCCTTGCTGTGGGCGGGGGATGTCGCTATTGTATACTGTGTATAATATTGGAGCAAGTATTGAGCCTTGGGGCACTCCTGCTTGAGGAGTGAATGGAGTGGAGAGGTGCTCTCCTATTTTGATCCGAACCGTTCGATGAGAGAGATAGGAATTTATTAGTTTAACGAAAGGTGCTGGCAGTCCAGCAAGGTGGAGTTTCTCGATCAGGCCTGCGTGCCAGACTTGATCGAAAGCCTTCTGAACATCGAGGAAAATGCCTACGACGTTTCCTTTCGTTAATGGATTGAGAAATGAAAGTTGTTGCTTCAACCAATGCATTTTGTGTGGAGTGTCCAGCCCTGAATCCGAATTGGTAATTTGGAATGAGGAAATGAGCGTCTAGGAATTCTACGAGTCTCTCCTTGAGGATCCTCTCGTAGACTTTACCTAGGGTGCTCAGTAACGAAATTGGTCTATACGACTCAGGGTTGGTGAGGGTTTTCCCTTTTTTAGGGACCATGACAGTGCTGGCAACTTTCCAAGGAATAGGAAAGTAGCTCAGCGCAAGAGATGCATTGATTATATTGGTGAGCAACGGGATAATATTCTGTGGAAGATTTCATCTCGTCACCAAATGCAAAAGCGAAGTGAATCGGATCCAACTCTGCATGAAATGTGGAAAAGAAGGCCACAAAGTCGTAGAATGTAAGAAGGAAGTCCGATGTGTCTTATAAATTAAAAATGACAACCGGGAGGTGTGCGCTCACATAGTGGGTATTAGCAGGTACCAATCTACAAAGAGACACTCTAAAAGATAGAATGTAAACGGTTATAAAGGTAGTACAGCTCTACCTTAATCACTGTGAAGATGCGCACGATCTGTTGATACGCAAACTAAATATAGATCTGGCACTACTATCTGAGCCATACAGGGATCTAACTGCTTAATCTTGGGTTATTGACAGCACCGCTAAACCTGTCATCTGGTCCTGTGGCAAGTTAGCTTTTCACAACGTGGTTAAGAACACAGAAGCTGACTTTTTAATTACAAAGGTAGACGGTATCGATTCGCCTAGTCTCCTACTCAATGAGTTTACTGACTTAGGATGCGAAACAGCATTTTTCCGTGGCAACAGGCGGGGACTTCAACGCCTGGGCACTGGATTAGGGCAGCAAGAAAACTAAGGTAATTGAGGTAAAGTGTTGTTAGAGGCCATGGCAACGCTAGACGTTGTCTTGCTTAACAGTGGTCATATACCTACATTTATTGGAGGAGGAGCTAGTTACATTGTGGATCTCACTTTCATTAGCACCTACCTCGTTAAGTGGAATTGTCTTTGGAAGGTATTGGATACTTACACAGCCAATGATCATAACGTACCGGAAGGAGACATATGCAAATTAATGCAGTTAGTTGGAGGGTGAAACCTTTGGATCCAATTGCCTTCACAATAGCTCCCAATCGTTGGAGATGGCGACCCAATCACCGTTGGAGACGCTGAAGAGCGTCGTAGAGGTTGTAGAGGCCTGCAACGCAAGTATGACCCAAAACACGGCACAAACCAACGTTTACGGGTACACTGATAGAATGACCACATAAGTACTCTACATAAAGAGTGCCTCAAAACAAGAATAACATCTCAGCGTGGCTGGAAACGGCAAAACTCTGCAGATCTGGTGACAGAGTACAAAAACGCACGCAGAAGACTAAATAAGGCAATCAAAGGCAGCACAAGGCAATGCTGGATGGAGCTTATCAATGAGGTGGAGAATGGTCCATGGGTAGGCCATATAATTTGGTCATGGCTCACTTGAAAAGCCGACTTATGCCGATAATGCCGACAAAAACATGCCCTCAGCTCCTACAGAAGATCGTTACTACGCTATTCCCTCGAGGAGTGCTATCACAGAAGATCAACTGATGGAGGCGTGTAATAGAGTAGGAAATAAAGCTGCAGGCTTAGATGGAATCCCAAACATCGCTTTAAAAGCAGCCATCAAAGAATCACCGGCAATGTTCTTGGAGATTTACAATACATGCCTCAAGGAGCGTACTTTTCCGCACATTTAGAAATAACAAAGAGTAATTATTTCAGCAATTTGATTATATGTATGATGATTTATTTGATATATTTAATATAAGCTATATATTTTTGTATTAAAAACTAATTTTACATTTATTTTAAGGTTGGATATTAAATACAAGACAAGGGATGGAAACGTTAAGTTTGCACATACATTAAATGGAACTGCATGTGCTATCCCAAGGCTTCTTATAACTCTTATTGAAAATGGTCAGGATGAAAAGGGTTCGGTTCATATTCCAGAAGTTTTACAAAAATATATGAAAAACAGGACCTCTATTTTCAGACAAAAAAGTATTCCCGAGTTGCGACTTGTGAAGAATAAAAAGCAGAATTAATAAATTGGTTGAAAATGCTATGTTGTTTATTTAGTCTCTGAACTTTTTAATCCCCAAATTCAGACTTATTTTGGTGAGCTAACTTAACACAAGGTGCATTGTTCATCCTCCTCACGCATGTTTTTGAATGGAGTTCAGCTTTAAAAGGTTAAAAAAAATAGCTAATAAATGTTACAAAAAATACTAGCGCCTCACAAAATGTTTAGCTTATATATCAGCAAGATATGGCTTTGCTCAGCTATGCCATGTGTATTGGAGGGACAAAACAGTCAATTATATTAGACCATGGGGTAGAAATTAGAAACTGCGATGAATACAAGTACCTGGGTATGAAGATAACTCAAGATGGAACTCTCGATGCTCTATAAAAGACAGAAACATACAGGGTAGAAAAGCCATATCCATGATGAACGGCATTCTGTGGGACCAAACAATATCTAAAACGAACAAATAACTCATATACAACACCATACTTAAAAGTGTAATCACATATGGCAGTGAAGTTTGGCCAATGAAACAAAGAACAGAGAAACTGATACTAGCAACAGAAATGGACTTCTGGAGAAGAGAAGCAGGTAAATCAAGAAGAGATCGGATACCAAATGAGAGAATACGAGAAATGATGGGAGTCAAGAATATAATAGTTGATGACATAAAAACAAAACAGTTAATATGGTACGGCCATGTACAGAGAATGCCAGATGACAGGATTCCAAAACAGATTTTGAAGTGGACACCACAAGGGAGAAGGAAAAGAGGAAGGCCGAGAAGAAGCTGGAGAGAGGGAATTGAAAAAGAACTAGTGGAAAGAGAAAGGCCTATGGTTGAACAGAGAAGAATGGCGGTTAAGAGTCGGAGAACGCTGTAAACCGATAGTAGTAATCAGCAACGAGATACATATATATGTATACTATACACCATAGAGACCTTTTATGAACAAATTGGCAATATCTTAAAGCTAACTAATATACATGATATAAATCAGTCATCTAAATTTAAAACCCGACATTCATTCCGAAACAAATTTAAGTAAACCCGAAACTCTTGCTTAGGATTGGCAGAAATCTGAAACCACTTTCTACTTCCTTAAAGGATGTTGCAATTTTAGAAAATTAGCTTATTTTGACGTAGATGCTGGCAGAATTGTCTTTAAAGGCTTCTTTAAAAAAAAAGGATAATGTTTCCTAGTTTCGCCAAGAGTCTCCCAAGTGCTTTTCAGTCAGTTGACTTATACTGTTCTTTTTATCTGGTTTTAATGGTAAACCTACCTTCACAGGTGCAGGTTCCAAAGGCAGATTCTGTTAACTTTTTGCAAATATTTATTGATACCTAGATTGTTTTTATACCTGCAATGTCATTTGAAGTTTTTGAAATTATTACGCGCTTCTTCATAACAAGCTAAACGTTAATATTTCAGTCAAAAATTTACTATCGACACCCCAACCTCTAGACTTTGCTATAATTTTCTATTATTTTAATATATATATATATCAGGACACGTACTGGCGATTTTTTAATTAATTGATATAAGGTTGAATGCTCGAATAAATGAACTTTGATCAAATGAAAGGCAGATATCGAGCACAGTTTTATTAATTAAATCTTGCCAAAGGACTTTCGCTTCCTAGAACATCTTCAGGGGCATTTCTTCAATTTTGGTATATCCAACAATCACAGAATGTCATATTTATGTTTATGACATTCATTTCCTCTGTGGATGTGGACTATAATATCAGTGATTTTTTAGATAGGCTTTAGGTATTTTCAATAACGTATTTAGAATAATTAGAATTTTAATTAGAAGTAAAAACATCAAAAATCCTGGACTACCAAAGGTATGTGAATATCAGGTAACAATATGCATTCACTACTGTACATTAAGAAATTTACTACCAACGTCTTTGTTACTGAATTTATTTCCAAATACAGATAAACCTATCAAAACAGCTAAAAAAATGTACTATCAGAATCGTCTGGGAAGATCTAAAAATGTTGCAAGAGAAACTTGGTCGATAATAAACGATCTTCCAAATAAAACTAACACAGTTCAAATATTTTCTCTTCCAAACTCTGAAACTCTAAATAAATACTTCGTTAATGTAATAAAAATACAACATCAACTATTTTGCCGCAACAAGATCCTATTTTCTATTTCCTAATTCAAAAAAATCTCCCAAAAAATGTGTTGGAAGTCCTGGCCTCACTAATTAACGATTCGGTTAACGAAAAAGGTATATTTGCAGAGTGCCTAAAGGCAGCCACTGACTGACTCTTGAGTTTTAACCTTGTTTAGGCTTGCGCCTCTTCAAGGAATGGGGAACTCCTTTTTTTGCCTTATGCAAGGTACTTCAGGGGTTACCAGCCATACGGTAGGAACGGCTCTCTGCGATAGTTGATGGATAGTTCAAGAATTTCAAAATACTCATCAGGAAGTTCAGGTCCAGCGTTGTGTAGAAGTTTAGCTGGAGGGAATGGAACTTTTTTGGTAGGGTACCTGGTGAGTATTTGCCCTCTATGTGAACAAGGCGTCTTTAAAATTTGTTTTGTTCGGTTGTTCGAGCCAGCTATGGTTCTTAGGACATACTTCCTGCTGAGGGTAAGGATTCTGTCCTTAATTGGCGTGATGTTGGCCAATGTGTATATGTGGGTTGATGGATACAGCCAGTCTTTTCTCATATAGTAGCGTAGAATTCTACGCTCAGTGGCTGTGATGGCATTAAGTTCGTGGCTCCTGACAGAAAGGTAAACGCATGCCTTGTACTCGAGTATCGGCCTGATAAAAGTCTTGTAGGTGTACAACAATGTTTTAGAGGACGTTCCTCCTAATTTTCCGGTTAGCACTCTCAGGAGATTAAACCTCTTTCTCATTATGTCAAGGGTTTCTTGGACGTCAGCTTTCCAATTGAGAGCTCTCGTAAAACGAACTCCCAAGTAGAGAGCTGAGTTCCTGAGAATAAGGTCCTATCGATTTAAGTAAGAAACTATCCTCAGCCTGCTATGCAATAAGATCTGTTTTGAAGGAAATCATTTTAGCATCTTCCAAAATATCATATTTTTCTTTGTTCGAGTCTCATCTTCGAAATGGCCTTTCTATTTGGGGTTCTAGTACAGCTGCCTAATCTGATGTTATTTTTAAATTACAAAAAATAGCAATACGGTATCTTTTTGGCCTCAGTAGAATAACAAATTTCAGAAGCTACTTAAAAAATCACGGGATTTTAACTCTTCCCTATTCATATATTCTAGAAACTGTTTGCTTAATTCGTAATTACCTACATGTTCTTCCAGCAAAACCTAATCGCGACTAATCCACCAGAAATTCAACCTTTGATGTGTATTTACCGATTCCGTCCACTGAGTTAGCAAAGAAATCTATATTATATTCGACAAAAAAATTATTCAACCACTCCCTTTGCAACCTAAATCTACAACTTTTTTCCTTCATCATCATCCAGCCTCAAGAGTCCACTGCTGAACATAGGCCTCTTCTCCATGTTTCCAACCCCGTCTATCTTGCGCCGCTCTTATCCAGTTTTTATTTAGTTTTCTTAAATCGTCAGTCCATCTTGTAGGTGGTCGACCGACGCTTCTATTCTCTTCCCTTGGCCTCCATTCCAATAACCTCTTTGTCCATCGCCCATCTGTCATTCTGGCTATGTGTCCTGCCCATCTCCGTTTTAGTCTGCCTATCTTCTCGATGATGTCAGTCACTCCGGTTCTTCTCCTGATGTCTTCGTTAGTTATTCTGTCTCGCAGAGTTATTCCTAACATGGAATGCTCCATTCTTCTCTGCGTGACTCTCAGTTTGATAGCTGCTGTTTTTGTTAAGGTAAGTGTTTCTGCACCGTACGTCAAGACTGGGAGGACGCACTGATCAAATACCTTTCTCTTTAGAAATGTGGGCAGCTCACTTTTAAAAGTTTCTCTCAGTTTTCCAAATGCTGCCCACTCAAGTCCGATTCTTCTCTTCAGTTCATGAGTCTGGTTATCCCTGCCAATCATAATTTCATGTCCCAGGTATTTATATCTATCTACGAGTTCTATTTCTTTCCCACCAATACTGATGTTCTGCTTGGGTACCAAATTGGTCATGATTTTTGTTTTCGAGATATTTATATTTAAATCTACATTTTCTGTAGCCACAACAAGTTCCTGTACCATCTCTCTTGCCATACCTAGATCTGCAGATATTATAAGTATATCATCGGCGAAACGTAAGTTGTTTAGATATTCTCCATCTATTTTTATTCCCTTTGTCATCCAATCCAAATTCTTAAAAGCATGTTCTAGCACCGTATTAAAAAGTTTAGGTGACATTGGGTCTCCTTGTCTAACCCCCCGTTCTATTTTTATGCGATTACTGTTAGTATGTAATCTGACAGTGGTTGTTGCCTGCAGGTATATTTTGTATAATAATTTAGTATATATCTATAATCTAGCCTGCATTCTTTAAGCGCCTGTAATATTTTGCTTAGCTCAACTGTGTCAAAGGCTTTGTGAAAATCGATAAATATTAGAACTAGAGGTTTATTGTATTCCACTGCTTTCTGTATTTGCCTTAAGTTCCGTAAATTGATAAAAAGCCGATCTACCTAAAAAAACCATATTCTTCAGTGGAAGAGTTTCTTAACGAATAACTAAGAAATTACAGTACGTTTAGGTACAAGCAACTAAAATATGTTTATATATATATTTGGGTATCACATGCAGCAGCTTAAACTTATTCGTAAACTAGTTCGTAATGTTTTATTATACAATTTGCAGTTTAGTTAAATTTTGTAATGGATTGTAGGTATACTTTATTATCTTTTATTTTGCGATATTGACGATTTGTGTAATTTTAGTAAATTTTAATTGTTATTGATATTTTTTTGACTTTTTATAAACTTTGTCCATAAAATGTAAAATTTTCAGCAACAATAAAGCATATTTTATCTATTCATACCTATAATTCGTGCCAAGAATATTATACTATATATACATACAACTTAAATCTTAAGTTGTATATATATATATATATATATATATATATATATATATATATATATATATATATATATATATATATATATATATATATTATACAAACTGAAAATAAAAAAGTTTATTTTTAAATTTAAAAAAGAAAATGTATATTTTTTGTAAAAATTTAAAATAATTGATATATCCAATATTTGGTTTAGCATTACATACTGAATTAGATTAAATAATTAAACAACTTGCTAAAAAATTTTGGAGTAGTTTTGGATAAACGTCCATGCTCCTGTTTGATATCTTTCTGTTCTTCATAAAATTGAATTTGTTTCCTACGAAACTCAGTAAGTGGATCATCATACTGCTTATAAAACTTAAGAACTTCTCTAACGTCTTCAACTTCCATGTGAGCTATGGTTTTTAAAAACGAAGTCAAATCTAGCAAAACAGTATCATCGTTTTCTCCTTGCCACCTATCAACATTTAAATGATTGTCTGGATGAAATTTGATACATTCAGCATTCCAGTCAACGACAATAACCTTGCTTAAATCTCTATTGAGCTTATCTAAATTTTTGACATGAAGCCCATCTACAAAATGTGTAGAATCTCGAACCAACTTATATGAGATTAAATTTTTTGGATCCATAGCTTCAATTACTGGAAAAATGGACATCCCTGGTTGGGCGGTAAATACAACAATCTCATAAAGATCCACAAGGTTCTCTAACAAGTAATCTAACCCTGGGCGTTTTTTAAACCTCCAACCTGTGTGATAGGTCCAGTCTGGATGTGCCATAACGTCTGTAAACTCCAACACTAATGTGTAAGGTGGTTGGTAATATGGATATTTTACGGGATCTGGTAAAAGTTTATCTCTAGACGGCTCTTGGATAAATAGTGTTATATTTTCAATTTGCTTTAACAACCTTTTTATATATGTCTTCCATTTTGGAATTCCTGAGCCAACTTCTTCTGGTTTTTGAAGTTCTATGATCATAAACGTCCCAAGTAATGTGACGGAAAGGCCTAAAAGTGCACAGATTACCTTTAATTTTCGAGCAGTTTGTTTAATATTTATTGCTTCTTTTACTGCAAAATCCTTTTCTGTACATTGTCTATCAACTACTGTGATATTAGGCTCATTTTTGTCATTACTACTGGAGAGATACCTACCTAAAGCAAGATTGTTTAGAGGTAATACTTGAATATGTTTATTTGCGTAGATAATTTTTAAATTTCTACCTAAAAGATTTTTTGTTGTTCCCCACATGACTATCCTAACATAAATTTTTGACAAAAATGACAATCGATGTCAAATCTTTATTTTTGATATTATAAAGTACACGAAAATTCCATTTTAAAATATAATTTACGCTGCCAATATCAAATCATGACAAACTGATACGATTGGTGTTACAATCATATACTCGGTTCTCAAACGGCTGTCTTGTGGCATATCTAATTTAAATAATATGTTTATATGAGATTAAGTCACAATTGATTGTAATTAAAACTACATTTTTAACTAACTAACATTTGGTAAGATCGGCGAATGGATTTAGTGTCCGCAGTCATATAAACACAAACAAACAACAACCAAAACAACTAACATTTGACGTTTCGATTTTCACTCCGGAAATCGTTCTAAAAAACATTATTATTTTTAAAAATATACTGGTATGAGGTAGGTGGTTTGTGGGTATAACCACCGAACAACTACAGTAGTAGTGCAGTGATCAGTGAACAGTGTAGTAGTGTCTGGGGCCCGGGAGACTGAGACCTCGGAAGCCCTGAGGAAGGCATCAGAAAGGATGCCGAAAGCTCGGCAAAATGGATATCGACGCGGTTCAACCCGGAAGACTGGTGAGTTTGATATTAATTTTTGGAATAATATTAATCTTAGCTCTAAGTTTCATTGTACTAAGCGGAAATATATATATATATATATATATATATATTATATATATATATATATATATATATATATATATAAGGATCACTCAGACGAGTGGTGGGTTCTTATATCGGTCTCTAGGTGGAGAAATAAAAGACAAAGTTGATAGGCTACTTTATCTATTTTGAAGACGTTTCGCTTTCGAGTTTTGAAAGCATCATCAGTTCATCTAAAAAATTATTACAATATGAGAACCACACAATCATGGAAACGATGTTAATTGTTACCTTAAAAAGATATGTAGCAGTCAATGTTATTAACAAATATGTGAATGAAACTAAGTAAATGGACATAGTACGCTGATCTTGTATAAACAGTTAAGCAACTAACAACATATATGAACTTGTACAAAAATTAGCACAGCAATTGACCATGTGGTCCAAAATAAATTCAATGTTATTTATATTAATAAGTGAGAAAGAACCAAGAAAATCATAAATAACCTCCAACTATTTAATGGATATTAAACTTTGATTTTAACTTTAGGTAGCATTATAAGTAATATTAATAAAATTCTACAAAATAGTGAATATGAAGTTACCGATCAAAGCCTTGTGGATGTCGCCGTGAAAATGGCGTTAGATGAAACAGGAACGAACTAACCGCAAAAAGACAGCCAACCTTGAGGTCAAAATTACTTTTGACAGATCAACAAGGTGTAAATACCAACCCAGAATTTTGGGCGGTTAATTTAATTTTTATATTTTATAACTGAGTCTGGATGACTTCCAGGTTGTAAAGGACAACAACAGTGAAAAAAGTTGGTAGTGTACACACAACTCCCCTCACTAACCGGCCCAAATTTACAAACCGGAGATTTGCATTCAAACTCATAATAATGTAATGACGTTAATCATGTGGCAAGTTAAATAGTCAGGTGATTAACGATATTATAATTTCCATACAGCCCAAGGTTCAATATACTTGGAGCTGTGATTTGTAAAGGATTCTATGAATCAATTACAATGTTTGTATTATTTTATATATAATTTAAAACTCTAATCAAAGAATTTAGTATAATGAAATGCAATATGGGTTGCATATGTAATAGTAAAATTAAGTAAAGAAATTAAGTTATTTAATTGATATATTTATTTATTTTATTTCTATTTATGTATGTAAATTATTTTATGAAAAGTGGAAAAAAGTTCAACTAGTACACCTAATATGACATTAATGTAGTGAAAAGATTAAGTAGCCTAATTCTGCAAAATTAAAGCATGATATATCTGGCTCAAGTTACTTATGTCAGTTCTCTTATTCAATGCATTAGGATGTTTTAATATTGAACACATTTCCAAAAACTGTCTTTTCGCTAGATTGCGTTCAGTGGCAAGAATCTTAACTTCATTAAAATCCACTTCATGTTTTGTATTTATCGCATGTTGTGCTAGAGCACAAGTGTGTTTCGATAAGTTAATGTCGCTACGATGTGAAGTGAGACGACCTTTCAATGATCTACCAGATTGCCCAATGTAACAAAGATCGCAAAGATCGATACATTGGGCAATCTGGTAGATCATTGAAAGGTCGTCTCACTTCACATCGTAGCGACATTAACTTATCGAAACACACTTGTGCTCTAGCACAACATGCGATAAATACAAAACATGAAGTGGATTTTAATGAAGTTAAGATTCTTGCCACTGAACGCAATCTAGCGAAAAGACAGTTTTTGGAAATGTGTTCAATATTAAAACATCCTAATGCATTGAATAAGAGAACTGACATAAGTAACTTGAGCCAGATATATCATGCTTTAATTTTGCAGAATTAGGCTACTTAATCTTTTCACTACATTAATGTCATATTAGGTGTACTAGTTGAACTTTTTTCCACTTTTCATAAAATAATTTACATACATAAATAGAAATAAAATAAATAAATATATCAATTAAATAACTTAATTTCTTTACTTAATTTTACTATTACATATGCAACCCATATTGCATTTCATTATACTAAATTCTTTGATTAGAGTTTTAAATTATATATAAAATAATACAAACATTGTAATTGATTCATAGAATCCTTTACAAATCACAGCTCCAAGTATATTGAACCTTGGGCTGTATGGAAATTATAATATCGTTAATCACCTGACTATTTAACTTGCCACATGATTAACGTCATTACATTATTATGAGTTTGAATGCAAATCTCCGGTTTGTAAATTTGGGCCGGTTAGTGAGGGGAGTTGTGTGTACACTACCAACTTTTTTCACTGTTGTTGTCCTTTACAACCTGGAAGTCATCCAGACTCAGTTATAAAATATAAAAATTAAATTAACCGCCCAAAATTCTGGGTTGGTATTTACACCTTGTTGATCTGTCAAAAGTAATTTTGACCTCAAGGTTGGCTGTCTTTTTGCGGTTAGTTCGTTCCTGTTTCATCTAACGCCATTTTCACGGCGACATCCACAAGGCTTTGATCGGTAACTTCATATTCACTATTTTGTAGAATTTTATTAATATTACTTATAATGCTACCTAAAGTTAAAATCAAAGTTTAATATCCATTAAATAGTTGGAGGTTATTTATGATTTTCTTGGTTCTTTCTCACTTATTAATATAAATAACATTGAATTTATTTTGGACCACATGGTCAATTGCTGTGCTAATTTTTGTACAAGTTCATATATGTTGTTAGTTGCTTAACTGTTTATACAAGATCAGCGTACTATGTCCATTTACTTAGTTTCATTCACATATTTGTTAATAACATTGACTGCTACATATCTTTTTAAGGTAACAATTAACATCGTTTCCATGATTGTGTGGTTCTCATATTGTAATAATTTTTTAGATGAACTGATGATGCTTTCAAAACTCGAAAGCGAAACGTCTTCAAAATAGATAAAGTAGCCTATCAACTTTGTCTTTTATTTCTCCACCTAGAGACCGATATAAGAACCCACCACTCGTCTGAGTGATCCTTATATATATATTGGATTGACGGTCGTACTCCTTTTTCCGATATATATATATATATATATATATTATATATATATATATATATATATATATATATATATTGTTATGAAAGGTAAAATCGAGAAAAATATTGGTGTGCTTAAAATATTTCAAAGTTAAAAAAAAATTAAAATAATTCAGATAAGTCGAATAATAAACTACAAACATTTCGAAGAATGAAAGCCCATTATCTTTGGATTACTTGTATTAAACAGAACGTAAGATATGTAAAATATATTTGAGTGACGTGAATAAGCTTAAGTGAAATCCTAGACAATGGAAGCGGGTTTTCCAACTAAATTTGTGCAGTAATTAGGACAATAGAATAGATTTTAGAAAGATATGTTTTTGTTAGTTCATAAGAATTGGTAGAAAAATATTAGTTTGTAAATAAGTTTTAGGAAATTTTATAATTGTAGGTAAAAATATGTTTGTGTTATCGAAATGAAGAAATGGGAGATGTATGACGCGTTTTGATTGGATGAGACTGAAAAAGGTGGGATGGTTGGTTTGAGAATGAGACTTTAGTTAGTTTTTGAAGAAAAAAAGATAATCAAGTTGGTTTTCCAAGTGTGCAAGGCGAACAGTCATTGTTCTCTGGTGGTTCCCGAGAGGTAGCAAGCAGTAGTGTTTAATGTTAGTGAGTTTTTGTGGAGTTAGTGTATCTGACAGAAGCTGATCCAGCAAAATATTGTAAGTCATATTTTTCTACTTATATTCCCAGAGTCACTGTTCAGGCCAACGAGAGATTCTTCTTCTTCTTAAGGTGCCGTGCATTTCTGCGTAGGCGTCCACCGTACATCGTCTTGTCAGGTGAGATGTTAAATATTCTGGATTAAATAATTCTGTTTTTAGCAGCATTGCGAAGCATTTCATAGCTGTGGATTCCTGTCCATTGTCAAATATTGCGCAGCCATGACATTTTTTTACGTCCGAGACCTCTCCTACCCTCGATTTTGCATCCTCTATCTTCCCTTCGAGTATCAGTTGCTGAAAAGTGTATCGTTCTCCTCGTATAATGTGCCCCAAGTATGCAGTCTTCTTACTTTTTACATAATTAAAAAGTTCCCTATCCTGTAAGCCCGCTCTTCTGAGTACTTCCTCATTTCTGACCCTGTCCGTCCATGATATTCTGAGCATTCGACGCAGGCACAACATTTCGAACACTTCAAGTTTGTTAATGGAACTGGCCTTTAACGTCCATGCTTCCATTCCGTACAGGAGAACAGGCCACACGTAACACTTAAGCATCTTGTATCGGAGGTTGAAGTCCAATTTGCGATCAGTCAGAAACTTACGAAGCCTCAAAAAAGCATTTCTGGCTTGTTCAACTCTGCTCTTTATTTCATTCTCGGGGTCC